GGACTCCCATGTAGTCGACCATGGTTTGAGTCCCAGACCCAGTGGCTTAAATTCATGCTGGGCACGTGTGCATGAATGCCAAAGATCCCGAGAGGAGAATGGAGGAGAAGGGATTGTAGCTTGGCCATCCCCCCTGGGGGGTGATTTCTCACTTTCTGTCTCTCTGTCTCTCTCTGTCTTTCCAGTGAGCGCACGCACCCTGCAGCAAAAACCTCTCAAAAAAAAAAAAAATTTCCCATGTGGCTTAAAATTCCAGAAATCCAGGCCTTAAAATTCCCCATGTGGGCCAGCAGGTAGCATAGAGGTTAAGGGGACTGGATCCCACGTGGCCAACTGTGTGATGCAAGTCCTGGACCCAAGGGCTTGAAAAACACTCCAGGTGCACATGTGCATGTGTCCCCAAAATTCTGAAAGGAGCATGGAAGAGACAGGATTGTGGTGTGGCCTTTCCCTGGGGATGTGCTTTCTCTCTCTCTCTCTCTCTCTCTCTCTCTCTCTGTCTCTCTCTGGGAAGTGCACACCCCCTATAGCAAATTTTAAAAATAAAAAAAAAGAAAAGAACTTGTATGCTAATTTCATTTTTCCATTAACTTCTTGAAGTCCTCACACATGACCCACCAGCCCTGTGGAATGTGCTTAGTGGGATCCATTTGTCCTTCTGTAGCCAGGAACAGGTCAGGGTAGGAACTCTGGCTCCTTTGAGAAGACAGACAGTTTCACTTTCCTTTGTTCCTCTGGGCTTCCTCCAGCCCCTGCCCCCAGGCAGGCCTGGCGCTGGGCCTTCCTGCACCCTCCTCCCCCAGACCTCTGGCCCCAGCTGGCCAGGATGAATACAGTGTCAGTGAGTGAGCTACAAGGACGTTCCACAGACCCAGCCCTGTGCTTTATCAGGCTCCAGTCTGTCTTCCCCTCCTTCCCCCCTCGTCCTTTTCATCTCAGTCTGGGCTGTTTCCCACAGTGCAGGCAGTAAAATCTAAGTGGTTAAATCTTGGGGTCCTGGAACCAGACTCCTGTCCCCAGTCCAGTTACAGCTCCAGCGTGCTGTGCCTTTGAGTAAGATGCTGACCTTCTTTCACCTCAGTCACCGGGGTAAGAACAGTTCCCACCTTCACCTTCGGGGTGTTGAGGGTGTTGAGAGCACTTACAATGAAGGCTTTTCACATTGTCTGCCACAAAATAAGTACTTAACAAATGTCAAGTCTAATCCCAGAAGCTATTTTCTCTTTACAAAGTGATTTATTACAGGGGCCAGCAGGTGGCATGGTGGTTAAGTTGCTGGACTCCCGCATGGTTGACTGTGGTTCAAGTCCAGACCTGGCAGCTTGCCTTTTCCCTCTCTGTCTCTCTCTGGTCACATTTAAAAAATAATAATAATAAACTAAGTAACAAAAAAACTTCTGATATCTTTTTTCAATAGTGACTTATTACATACCTACAGGCTTAGATTGATCACTTCTAAAATCTGGGGTGGATGGGAAATATTCTTTTTTTTTAAAATAAAACAGTTGATTGTATTTTCACATTTCACAATACAAGTGAAAACTGAGTCTTTTTGGATCCCACTTCTCTCCTCCAAAACTACTCTTATTCTGAATTTTTTTAATAGGAAGAGGGAGAAAGTCTTCCTTGGCACGCTGTTAGAAAACACCCAGAGTCGTGGCACCATGATCTCCTGGTGAAGTAGAACAAGCGAATATAAAACTGACATAAAGAGGCCTCCCTCCACCCTTCTCTGTCTGGCCGAGTCATCCCTGGCCGAGTCATCCCTGGCCGCATGGGCACCATCGTGGACCAGGTGGGAAGTCTCATCACTGGGGGTCCAGCGTCATGGGCATGTGGCCTCCCATGGTGGCCTCATTCCAGAAGCAGGTCCTGGCATCATCCCAGGAGGAGGGCCCATCCTTGGCATCATGGGAGGGCCCCCCATATGGGGATCACCGCCCCTGCAGGAGGAGGAGCAGAGAATGGAGTAGGAAGACCTTTCCCTTGTTGAAATGCAGCCTTTGTTTTATTAGTCGGCTCTGAGCCGCTCTCCCATCCATCTCTGATGGTAGTCTTTCACATTCTCTTGTGTGTCCTGCCACTGCAGTGTGTTTTCCTCACGGACGGAGAACCGTGGGTGAGGTATGTATCACAGGAGTCACGGTAAAACTTAGGCCTGGTGCTCTGCAGTCTGTTGGCCATTCCGTTTGGAAAATATTCTTTAGAAGGAAATTAATACATAAATAATAATAATAATACAATTGTGTTATATCCACTACTTACAGAGGAATTCACTCTCCTAGGCACTCTGCTGATAGCAATGAATGAAAAATAGTTCATGACAACAGTAGCCAATCCTAAAGGAAACTGGATGTAGCGATTTGGCTGGTCTCTAAGCTAGCCAGTTGTCAATTACAGTGGTGGACGCTGGGCCGCCTTACCCTCTGGACTGGAGGGCTGTTTCCAAGTGGGCACTGAGCCCTGGAAAACTTCCCTCGCCCATCCAGGAGAATCCTGTCCTGCTATCAGGAGAGACTGAGTCTTGATATTATCTCAGGACCCACCTGGGCACATCTGAGGGGTCCCTTGTAGTTTCTTTCTGAACCCGAGAACAAGCGCTTGGATGTACCCTGAGGGGAGCCACACACAGGTGGCCCCGAACAAAAGCTGATGTTCTCTGAAGGAAAGTTAGCGTTTTTCTCTAATTCTGAGTGAAGGATGGGGGTGGGGTGGAGAGGAGGATGAAATGTTGCTATTTTGAGAATGGCGTTGGGGGATAAGGGGTCTTTAAGAGAGTTGCCAGGCAAGATAGATGCAGCCCTTCCTTTCCTCAATTTCTCCCTGTGCAACTTGCTAAAATTTCTAGTTTGTTGACTTAAGTGGGCCAGACAGTTGGCTACTTGTACACCGATGATAGCGACAGCTTGTGTGTGCCGCCCACTTACTAAGCGCCATGCACTGTTCTGGTCATTTGACATTGATATGGACACTTTCCTGGACCATACTTGAGGCTGCTCTGAGCACTCTTTCTTTCTTTCTTTCTGTTTCTTTTTTAAAAATTATTTTATGTTTTAAACTTTATTTACCTACTTATTTTAATTTGGCCAGAGGGGGACAAAGTGAGAGAGAGTAAGAGAGGGAGGGAAAGCAAGAAAGCAAGATCCAGGTCCAGGATCCGAACCGCGGTCAGCCATGTAGGAGTCCAGCACCCTTAACTACCACATCACCTGCTGGTCCCAACACACTATTTCTTTTCTTTTTTTTTTTTTTTTTAATTTTTTTGAGAGGTTTTCGCTATAGGGCATGTACGCTCGCCAGACAGACAGAGAGAAACATAGAGACAGAAAGCGAGAAATCACCCCCCAGGGGGGATGGTCACGCCGCAATCCCTTCTCTTCCATTCTCCTCTCGGGATCTTGGGCACGCACGCACACACGCCCAGCGTGAGTTCTAAGCCACTGGGTCCGGGACGCGAACCGCAGTCAACTACGTGGGAATCCAGCGACATAGCCATTACGCTAACTGCTGGTTCCCCAACACACTATTTCTTAAGGTTTCTTTTTCCCTTTTATGCACATTGTTTGGTTTTGTTCATGATAGACCAGAAGAAAGAGAAAGAGAGAGAGAGGAGCATCTTCCACAGGTCCTGGTCATACCATGATCCCCCTTTCTCTAGTCTTCTAGCTTGCCAGAATCCTGGGCACATGCCTTGGTAAGTCTCAGATCAACTGTGCTGGGGACTCAAACTATGGTTGGCATGTGGTCTCCAGATCCACAGTCAAGTGTGCTACCAACTGTACCAAAGGCTGGGCCTGAGCCCTCTTCTTGACTCGGCCTGTACTGTGGCCTCTGGGTCCTCCTGTCCTTGCCAGGCCTGTACAACCCAGTGTAGCAAGCATTCTGCTATATTTAGCAAGAATTCCCCGCCTTTGATATCTCCTCCTAGCAATTTTCCATCCTGACGCCCTTGCTCTGCTGTAAATCTCGCCTGTGCTCAAATTCCTAATTGAGCTCTCTCTCGCTCCTCTACTATCATACCCCTTCTACAGTAGTCTTCCTTACTGTGTTAACAAGGGTCAGGATTTTTAAAAAATAATTATTTTATTTTAATTAATTAATTAATTAATTTTAATTTTACCAGAGAGGAACAGAGTGAGAGAGAGAGAAAGCTGGGACTCAAACCACATTCAGCCATGTGGAAATCTGGCTCCCTTAACCACAACGCCACCTGCTGGCCCCATGCTTTTTTTCCTCAGTTTTTTGCTATAGCACACGTGCGCTTGTCAGAGAGAGAGAGAGAGAGAAAGTGAGAAAGTACCTCCCAGGGGGGATGGCCACACCACAATGCCTTCTCTCCAGCCTCCTCTAGGGATTTTGCACACCCACACATGCCTGGTGTGACTTTAGAGCAGCAGAATCTGGAACTTGAACTGTGCAGTTGGCCACATGGGATCTAGTGCTTTAACCTCCATGCCACCTGCTGACCCCAGAATAATTTTATTTTTGAGAGATTTTTGCTATAAAGCGCATGCACTTGCTGGTGAGACAGAGAGACACAAAGCAAGAAATCGCACCCAGGAGGATGGCCATGCTGCAATCCTTTCTCCTCCATTCTCCTCTTGGGATCTTGGGCACGCACGCACATACCCAAGAGGGCAGGTGCCCTCTTTAAGTCGCCAGGTCCAGGACTCGGATCCCAGTCGACTAAGTGGGAATCCAATGACATAACCATTACCCCATCTACTAGTCCCAGGAATAATTTTTTTTAAGTTTTTTTTAATAATGATTTTATTTAACTTTATTTATTTTAATTTGACCAGAGAGGGAGGACCAGCAGTTAGCATAATGGCTATGTTGCTGGACTCCCAGGTAGTTGACAGCGGTTCAAGTGCTGGACCCGGTGGCTTAAACTCATGTCAGGCATGTGTGTGTGCGTGCTCAAGATCCTGAGAGGAGAATGGAGGAGAAGGGATTGCGGCATGGCCATCACCCTGGGGGATGATTTTTCACTTTCTGTCTCTCTCTGTCCTTTTGGCGAGTGCACATGCCCTATAGCAAAAACCTCTCAAAAAAAAAAAAAAAA